AACCACAAACACATGAATTAATTTAAATTGTTTTCATTGTTGTAACAAACAATATCATTATGTGTAATGAAGTACAATGTAATTAAATAAAATGAAATTATTAACTATTATTGCTCTTGTCATGTACATACATTAACAACAATCCAATTAAATGTAATGGCAAATCTTACATGTAAAAAAATAATCAATCAATCAATCAATTTGTTATAAACTAAATAATAATAGTAATGATTGACTGCAAACAATTAAAACAAATTTACAATGAAAAAAAAAAAAAAAAGGAAAATTCTTTTATGATTTTTCTTTTCATGTCAAGACCAGAGAATGTTTATAACGTTGAAACACATTTTAAAATGATTATCACATACGTTTTAATCAAATGTTTTTATGTATCTTTTTATAATTTTTTTTTGAACTCACCCACGCTTTCATTCGGTGTCGAATAAAACCGTTAACATTCAAATTTATTACCATTTATTAATTATAGTATTTAAAAAAAGAAAAAATTAACCAACTACAAATCAAATACGTAAATTATTATTATTATTATTACTGATTAATTAAAAAATAAAATTGATGTAAAATAACTGTCATACTCACACATTTGTGATTTTGCCACACGAGCCTCGTGTAATCCACAATTTATTTTTGTTATAAATTTTAAGCTTTGTGGATTTGTCAAAATTTTCCATCGTTTTCCCATTCGATATTCGTTAGAAATGTTGAAAATTTATCGCGTTCGAAGTATTACAAATCTCACTAAATCTTTTCCATTTCCAAATTTATATTTCATTACAATTTTCACTCCTTCTTAATTGACGCCATTTTGAAATTATGACGTAGGTTCGTAAGTATCGTGGAGTGGGAAAGAGAAAAGTCGTGTCTTTAGTCTCAATCCACGTTTTCCGAATTCACGACAGATATCCATCAATACAGTACAGATTTGATTATTATTTTTTTTTCATCGAAATATTTTTCTTAATATCAAAACCATCGTTTGTTTTTATCGTACGAAATATTATTATTATAAATATACTTCCATTAAATTTTTGTCTACAACAACAACGCACTAATTTCAAATACTCCTATTACGTCAATTTATTATTTTAAAATTATTATTATCGTAAGTTTGTTTTTCTTTTCCCCTCCCCTCCCCTCCCCCCGAGTTTATTAAAAAATCAACAAATTAAATTTTATTTTATCGATTATCTAATTTTACATACAATTGAAATAAATAAATATTTCAATTTAAATGTTAAAATCGAATCATTCGTTCAATGATTTGGAAAATTTTGTATTTGGAAAAAAAAAAAAACCCATAAGCTAAACATGAAAGAAAATAAAATTTTCTTTTCGTATTTATTTCATTAACCGTAAACGAAACAAAAAATAATTTTTTTCCATTTTCTTATTTAGCTTAAATAAAAATTATTTAGCACACGCACACGCACACGCACGCACAGGCACGCACTTTCATTTATTAATAAAAACAAACGACGACGATAATTATAATCACATAACGTATATAAATAATTAAATTATTTCATTAAAAAACTAACTCAATTAATTAATTAATTTATTTATTATTATTATTATTATTATTATTATTATTATTATTAATAAATATTTTAACATTTTAACCTTTTAACCTTTTAAACAAAGTAAATTTTTCGTAATTAATTAAAATTTTCACTTTGTTAATAATAAATTTTTTAATACCGGTCTTAAAATCACCAATAATAAACAAACAAACAAACAAACAATCAGACAAACAACAAATTCAATGTGTATATTAATAATAATAATAATAATGCCCGTCAATAATTATGTACATAAATATGTATATCGAAATTGCGTGACTATTTAATTACCTCCAAATTACTTTTTTTTCTGTTTTTTTTCGAACGCCGTCACGACAGCATAAAAATTATCAACAGCAATAGGGAAAATTAACATCATCATCATCATCATCATCATCATCATCATCATTATTATTATTATTTAAAAAAAAGACAAACGACGTTAATTTAACCTGAAAACCTTTTTTTTTTTTTTTCATTTAAAAAACTTTTTATTTAATTTTTTTTTTTTTTTTGTTAAATTTAAAATAATGAAAAAAAAAAGGAAAACCGTCCACAAGTTAAACACAAACGTACAAAATGATAATAATGATAATAATAATAATGATAATAATTTAAAAGATTAAATTCTCAGAACAGTGACAAAAAAGAAAAAAAAAAGAAAAAAAAAAGAAAAAAGGGCATTAATCAGACAAACCTTTTATTACCTTTCAACGATTAATTAACCTGTAGAGAAAAGAAAATGAAATGTTTCTCCCACTCTACCCCTCCCCCTCCCTCCCGAAAAGTAAATTTTAAAAGGAAAAAAGAAAAACGACGGGAATAAGGGTTAAAGAGAGGGGTGGGAGGAAGGGAAAAAATGGTTAAAAAAAAAGGCTCAGGAATTTATTAATGAGAAAAAAAAATTTCCATCATCGATATATGTTAGTAATAATAATAATAATAATAGTTAATAAATAAATTCACGATTGGGGGGTGGGAAGGGGAAGAGGGGGAAGAAAAAAAAAAGGAAACAAAGGAAAAAATTCACTTTCGAAATCCTTCACAATACAAAAAACCCCCGCTCCCTCCCTTCCCCCAAAAACATTCATTCAAGAAAATTACCGGCCATTAAAAGTTTTTTTTCCCCTTTTCTCCCTCCACCCCTCCCCCCATTTCCCCCGAGATAATAAATTAACCTTTCGATCATTATTATTATTTTTTTTCTTCAGGTTTTTAAATTAAATTTACGACCTTTCCTTGTTACGTTTTTGTTATTATTATTATTATTATTTGAACATTTTTTAAAGTCATTTTCCGACGGGGCGGGGGGCGGATGATTTGTCAGTTGTAAAACAATTTTTTTTTTTACTTGCGTGCATGCAAAAAAAAAAACGGTAATTTATTACCGATAAATTAATAATAATAATAATAATAATAATAATAATAATAATAATAATATTACGTAATAAATAATAATAATAATATTACGTAATAAATAATAATAATAATAATTTTCATGCAAAAAAAGAAAATTCTTTCATTTACCTTTTTTTTTTTTTCCCCCTAGTGTGTAATTAATTACGCCAGTGAAAAATTAATTTTCTTTCTGCGTTTTCAATACGACACATTAAAATTTTAAAAAAACCGGAAACCGGAAACGTTAATTAAATCAAAAATAAAATAATAATAATAATAATAATTTGTGCGTTAGTTATCGTGTGAAAATTGCCGCCGCCGTCGTCGTCGCCGTCGTCCTCGTCCTCGTCGTTTTACGCGTTTTCCGGGAAATTTTTTTTTTTTTTCCCCAAACTAAAAAAATAAAATAATAATAATAATAATAATGATAATAATACTAATAATAAATTTTAAAAAATATAAAAATTAAAAAAAAAAAAAAAAGAAAAAAAAAAACCGAATCCGAGGAAGAAATCGCGTCGACTGCGTGTTGACGGTTTTTAAACCGACACGCACACACACATTCACACACAACAACAACAACAACAACAACAACCAAAAAATTCCTTTTTTTCTTTTTCTTGCGTTTCGTTTTGTTTTCATTGACTTGAGCAAAAGTGATTTCCGGTTTTGAGCGCCACCAATAACACAAAAACACACTTTCTTCTTGTTGCTTCTTTTTTTTTTTTTTTTTTAACTTGTTGCACGACATTTTTTTCATTTTTTATTTTTCACTTTTCCTTTGATCTATTTACATTTACAAAAAAAAAAATTAATTAATTAAATAAAAGACAGCCGCCATTTTTAATTATTTTAAACGTTTGCATTTAAACGGATATATTTTCCCGTTCGACGTTAACAATTCCTTTGTGAATACCCAATTTCAAAATTTATTAAATAAATAAATGTTTATCCCCACCCTAATAATAATAATAATATTAATAATAATTAATCAATTAATTAATAAAATTATAAATTAAATTTTTAAAATTATCCACGAGTGTAAATAAATAAAAAAACACTCGCACACTCTAGTGAGAAAATAATACACTAAAATAACCCTTTTCCCTTTTACCATCGTATAAAATCAATCAATCAATCAATAATCGATTACCTTTTGGTTTTGTGACGTAATTCGTTTATTTAATACATCCGGGAAATTATTTATAAGAAAACTTTTTCATCGTGTGTGTGTGTGTGTGTCGTGATATAGAATATTTTCGGAAAATATTCTTCCCAGTTAATTAATTAACAAAAATTGGAAAATTTACAAAATGTCGGTAAAAACCTGAACAAAAAAGGTAAAAAAACCTGAAACGGAAAATTTCCGACGGAAAAATCTCCAATAATTTTCTTTTCTTTTAAATTTCATTACAATTACTCACGAAGTACGAGGAATAGGAGGAGGAGGAGGAGAAAATTTTCCTTTGCGCGTCCGCGACCAACACATGGGGTTTTTTTTTCTTTTTTCATTTTTCATCATTATTTTATTCGTTTCTTTTTTGTTTAAACATTCAACCAACGATCTAAACAAATAATAATATTAGTAAATAAAGTTAAGAAAAAAAAAAACTTTTAGATATTTATTTAAAAAAATTTAACATTAAAAAAAAAAAAAAAGAAAAAGAAAAACTTAGCTGGTCATTGTCACTCTTCTTCTTCCCCTTTCACTTTCACTTCCCCTTCCCCTTCCCCTTCTTCTTATTATTATCATTATTATTTTTTAAAAAAAAAACTTTCAAATTAAAAAAAAAGAAAAAATACAAAAATATATATATTCACGTGTGTGTGTGGTGAAATTAAAATTATTATTATTATTATTTACCACGTAAATATTTGTAAAAAAAAATAATTCTGTTTTTTTTTTCTTCGTCTACCAGCATATGTGTTATGTTTACTCGAGTAATAATAATAATAAAATAATAAAAGTAATAAAAATAAAAATAATTGATAGTAAATGATAATAATAATAATTGTTTTCATTCAACCTATCGATGGACTGTCGGTACCACTTCCGCTATTTAAATCCGATTTTTCTCTCGTTACGTTCATAAGTTTTTTATTCGTTGACTTAGAAAGTGTTGCGAGTTCTTTTTGTAGAGATTTCACTTTTGACGTGAGGAGTTCAATTTTATCGGCTGCTTCTTTTTCCATATTTTTCATTTTGTTACGCATTTCCGTTTCCGACGTGAAATTTTTGGCTTTTAATTCGGTTATCTAAATCGTAAAAATAATAATGAGGTAGAGAGAGAGAGAGAGAGATCGTTTATTTTGGTTTTTGTTTTTTCACCCACTTGTCTATCCTTGGCTAATAATTGTGCATCCTTAGCTGATAGTTGCTTTTGTAAAGAAGCAATTTTTTCTTTTAACTGTGTCGTCGCAACCACGTGATCAGACGAATTCGGATCCACTAAATCGACACGTGGGATTTTCGTCGGCAAAGGATCATCTTTTTCTGATTGCGGCGGTAGTTTTGTCACGTCAACTCTTTCTAATCTTTTATTGTGAGATCTTAGTCTAAAATTACAAAAAATTTACACAATGGGGGGGAGGGGGGTCGCTCTTGAATGAATGAGAACGTCGAATTTTTTAATAAATATCATTATCATTATCATCATCATCATCATCATCATCATTATTTTACTCAAATGATTAAATATCACAAATGGGGAAATATAAATGGGGAACATTGCGAGTAGCAAACAATCGACATTTTCTTTTTTTCATTAAATAATTTCACCACACATGATTATTATCTAAAATTAAATTTTCTATTCGAATATTTTATTATTATTAATAATAATAATAATAATAATAAGTTTGACTCATTGTGAAACATCATAAATTGAAATTAAAAATTGTGTACGAGAACCATGTAGGAGTGATTCACACACAAACAATTCATGCGATTAGGAAAACATAAATGTCAAAATTTAAATATATACATGTTAAATGAAATGGGAAAACCATAGAATGGATTACTTACAAATAAAAAAACATAAAAAAATTATAAATTACTCACTTAGAATCTTTTTTTGATCTAGATGCTACTCTTTTTAAATGAGCTCTCCTTTCAGCATCGCTTTGTTTCGTTTTAGCTAAAGCTCTCTTATAAGACAAAGTGCATAACCAACATAGTAATTTTCCATCAACCTGTTAATAATCAATCATTATTTAAAATATGAAGACAATTTAATTGGAAATTTTCCCCCAACCTCCTTTATCTTTATGGTTGTTTTAAAAAAAAAAACAATTTTAAAATGTCTTAATCACTCACCTTTTTATCATCGTCATGCCTATCGAATGCACATTTTTGTTTGCATTGTTCACAGGTAACAGGAGGTCCATATTTTTTCTCACAATTTGTACACCTCTGACATTTATTTCCTATAAAAGCTGCTATGATATTACAATATTCGCAAGCTGTGGGTTTTCCAAATTGCTTGACATTCGTTTCACATTTTTTACATATTGTGCTCGTGTTAGCTTTACTGTAAATACACACAAACAAATTTTATTTTAACATATAATTAAAAACACCTTGCACGAATTAAATAAATATTTTTTTAAAAATTTTGCAAGGTAGCAAGAAAAAAAAACCCTAACATTTATACACATTATACTTCAAATGAATTTTGTCATTTAATCAAAAAAAAAAAAAATTTATCTCGAACTACCTTGTCTGTTGAAATTCCGATCGACAGTACGTGCACTTAACTACTGGAAAAGCTCCTCTGCACTCCTACAATCCGTAATTAAAATTATTTTAAATTAATTTAAATTAAAATTAATACGATTGAACTTTGAAAAAAAAAAAAAAAATTTCTTTTTTGACGCGTACCTTACACAACTGTTGTCCAGGAGAAAGTTCTTCGAATGGATGCCTGGTAAAACACTGAGAACAAGCAAACAAAGCGGTTGTATTACTCATGTTAAAACCCTTTTTTATTTATTACTATTGTAAAAGACGCGAAAATTAATATGAAATGATGAGTACACTGAAAAATTAAAAAAAAAAAATTTCTTAATACTAATCACTTCGTACAACCGCCATTATAAATATATATAACACCGGCGAAATATGGCCAACGGTAAATTTTTTTTTTTTTTACAAAAGCGGCAAATTGTTTTCAACAATCCCTGAAAAAAAAAGGTACATTTTACAACTCGGGTAGGTTTTTAAACGTTATTAATTAATATTTAAATAGTAAACAAGTAAGTCAGACGAATATTTCTCAGTTTTCTTTTATTAATTGCTGAAAAATTATCATTTTACATACGAAAAAAAAATTATAGAGTGAAATCGTATTCATATTACTTTTTAAAACTATTTAAATTATTATCCATTTACTTAAGTAGATAAACGCAAAAGTTTAATGTTAATAATTTTATTCCTACAATAAATAATATCATATTATTTTCGAATTTATTATTATTAGTTTAAAAAAAATAAAAAGAAAAAAAAAACGTTATTGACAATAAGATAATATGTTTGCCGTTAACCAGTTTTTTTTTTAAATATTCAAATGTTGGCAATCGTTCAGACAAAATAACAACTTAAACTGTAGACCCCAATCGACTCATTTTAGGTGCTTTTTCAAAACCTCCCTCAACACATAGATAAAAATGAGAAATTTGGAAGTACCATACATATTTAGTAGTTGAATCGATTACATTTTATTTAATCGTAATAAAATTGTTTTATTTTTATTCAATTGGCACGAGAATGTGATAGACTCGAATTGTTTTTTTTTTTTTTTTTCAAATCTGTGAATTATACGTCTTGAAATCGAATCAATTTTTAATCCGGTTAATTATTGTTTATAGGTCAATCATCCGGGTTTAGGTTTTTACGAAACCATGAACTCGAATTATTTATAATATAACTCAACGATAATTAAATTGCTTGGTAAATAAAAAAAAAGTGTTGTTAGATTATTACTTTCCTGATTCCTTAGAGGAAAAAAAAAATGGCGGATAGCGAAAGTGATTCGAGTTCTGTCGATGGAGGACCTATTATGATGCCTCCATCGCCCATAACTCGAGAACAATTGCAAAAAAGAATTGAATCGTTGCAACAACAAAACAGAGTTTTAAAAGTAGAATTAGAAACTTACAAATTACGAGTTAAATGCTTACAAGAGGAAAATCATTCTCTACGTCAAGCTTCTGTTATAATTGTAAGTAGTTTTATTATTATACCAAATCAAGGATATTTGCATAAAGAAATTTCGTTTAACAAATAATGAATTTCTCAATTATCAATTCATCATCGCATCACAATTATAGTCGGCCATTTAAAATAGGTGTGTGATTATTATTCTCATTTGAATTTTTCAGCAAGCGAAAGCTGAACAAGAAGAAGAATTCATAAGCAATACATTGCTTAAAAAAATTCAAGCTCTTAAAAAGGAAAAAGAAACATTGGCTCATCATTATGAACAAGAAGAAGAATGTCTTACAAATGATTTGTCTAGAAAATTAAATCAAGTTTGTATTCCAATCTAATTTTTTTTAAAAATGTTTATTATGATGTTATCGATATGTCAGTTTTTTCATTGTTATCATTGTTGTAGTTAAGACAAGAAAAATGTAGGTTGGAACAAACTCTTGAACAAGAGCAAGAATGTCTTGTAAATAAATTAATGAGAAAAATAGAAAAGTTAGAAGCTGAAACATTAACCAAACAGACTAATTTGGAACAGTTGAGAAGGGAAAAAGTCGAATTGGAAAACACATTAGAACAAGAACAGGAAGCATTAGTTAATAAATTATGGAAAAGAATGGACAAACTCGAAGCTGAAAAAAGGTAAAACATTACACAAAAAGAAAAAAAAAAAAAATTTCTTCGTTTGAAAAACGAATAATGAAAATGTCAAATCGATTTCCATTTCTTTATGACTTATTCATAAGGAAACTATTGAATTTTTTTTGGGGTGACAATTTTTGAGAATATTTATAAGTCATTTACATGTATTTTTGTAATTTTTCATAATAGAATGTTACAAATAAAATTGGATCAACCGGTGTCCGATCCAGCATCACCCCGTGATATAAATAACGGTGACGCGGCAGCCAATCTTTCGACACACATAAAAACTCTCAGGAGCGAAGTGACCCGTTTACGTTCCAAACTTGCAAACATACAACAGGAACAAAAGGAAAAAATGCAAAAATACGTCAACGAAGAAAAGCACATTCGAGAGGAAAATTTGAGATTGCAAAGGAAATTACAATTGGAAGTCGAGAGAAGGGAAGCTCTCTGCAGGCAATTGTCAGAATCCGAAACTAGGTGCGTGCGTGTGTGTGTGTGCGTGCGTGCGTGCGTGCGTGGGATTTTCTTTTTTTTCAAAATAATTTTTTTAACATTAGGTCTACTACTAACGTAATGTTTAAATCCTATTTTTAGTTTGGAAATGGAAGAAGAAAGGCATTTTAATGAGGTAGTTAGTTCCGGGGGCAACGTCCGGCCAAGAGGTGTTTCCAGTCCGATTCCGTATAATCCTAGCCCAAGTTCTTCAAGGCCTTTAAGTCCAGGTAAATTATTTCTCGTCATCGCAAAGGAAAACAATGACGAAGCTTCAGAATTCATTTTATTTTATTTTTTTTTTTTTTTCCCATCGTAGGTGGATCTCTTGCTAATTCGCTGTCACGTGAAGGTTCGACTAGTCGGTGTTATGCATGCGGTCAATCCGTAGGTTTGGGCCCCCAACTTGCCGCTGCTCAAGGCGAAGCCCATTCGGTTTCCTTAAACAGATCCATAAGTCCGCCCGTAAGTGATTCTTTTTTTTTTTACGACTATTGTCACGGTGTGACGTCACGCACCCCGTCGCGCGCGAATCACTTTTTGATTTATCATTTAATATTTTCAGAGAGGGCAAACGCATCGGAATTCAATGGAATTTACGAAGCCATCAACGCAATCACAACAACCAAATCCCTCGTCGTCGGCTCCTCCCGTCATCGAACACGCTTCTCCAATGGACATTGCTAAAAGCTAATCCCCGTCACGTTCATTTTTTTTATTATTATAAAATATTTCCACTATCATCATCGTGTCATCGTCATCGTGCGCTTCGTCGTCGTCGTCGTCGTCATTATTGTCATCACTAATTATTATTATTATTAAAATAATCCTCCGAGTTTTAATGGATGGTCTTAACGGTCTTGGGTTTGTTTTTCTATTTTTTTTTTTTTTTTTTTTTGTATACAGTGAAAAATAATGTGTAAAATCACAATGAAGTTACATTTTTTAAGTTTAATAATCAAAAAATGATTATAAAAAATAGTTAATAGTAATTATTATTATTATTATTATTATCCATTATCATTATTATTATTTTTATTAATTTATATTTAAGTAATTTGAAAAAAAATAAATAAATAAGAACGTCATCATTCGACGTATCGTATTCTTACTACGTTCAATTTCAAATCTCTTATATGGTACGATTGATATGACGTCACGTATTCATTACGTCACGAATGAGAAAGAAGATAGATAGAGAGAGAGAGGGGTGGGGGGGGGGGAATTTACAATTCCAGTACTTAAATTTTATTTTTTTATAAAAATTTTTTTGTTTTGTTTTTTGTCCAGAGTCATGGATGAAAATTGTTGCGTATGATTTTTGTATTATATATACTTTTTTTTTTTTTTTATTCTCAATAACTGCTCGTTAATAAATAATAATAGATAATGATAATGATAATGATGATAATATTTTACAATTTAAAATTTAATTTTTTTTTTATATGAAAAAATCGTCGTCATCACCGTCACCATCATCGTCATCGTCGTCGTTTTAAAGTTTTAATTATAATCATTATTATTATTATTATTATTATTATTATTGTTATCGATAAGGTTCTCTTTTGTACTTGCTGAATGATTTCATTGATAATATATATGTATGTATATTTTCAAAGCATCGGATTTTTTAATAACGCTTTCGTATTACATAAAAAAAAAATGGCTGATTATTGTATTTATTATTATTATTATTAATGTTATTATCATCATCGTCGTCGTCGTCGTCGTGATCACCATTATTATTATTATTTTTTTTTTTTACTCATTATTCGGGGTTAATAATTTTTAATTATAATATAAATAAATAAATAAAATTACGCAAAGAAAATTATTAATAATAATAATAATGATAATAATAAACGGTTTTTTATTTTACATAATTTTTTTTTTTTTTTTTTTTTTTCATAAAAATTTAAATAAATAAATAATAAATAGAATATGTTAAATGATAATGATGATAAAACTTGTCGATTCGTTATATAATTTTTAATAAATCGTAAGTAAATTATCGATTCATTATCATTATTATTATTATTATTAATAATAATATAATTTAGAAAAAATTCGTTGTTTTATTTATTTATGTATTATTATTATTATTATTATTGTTAAACTTTATCGATATTGTCTAATTTAAAAGCCAACAAAGGATTGATTGATTATCGATTGGAAATTGTTGTTTTGTGTGGTGCGGGGGGAGAGGGGGGGGAAGAAAAAATTAGAAGAAATTCTTGCCGATAAATTTGATTTGCCCTGGGAATTAAACAAATAATAATAATAATAATAATAATAATAATAATTTCGAGGCAGCTTTTTTTATATATTTTCATTGTTTGTTTGTTTGTTTTCAAATCTACGGAGTTTGTCGATAAAAATCCCGTAGAGTATTATTATTATTATTATTATTATTATTATTATTATTATTAAAGAAAACCCCGGGACCATCCAATTCCCTTTTTTTTTTAATTTTATCATTCGGAAAATCACCGGAAGGAAAAACAAAAAAAAAAAACGTTTTCTTTCTTTTCTACCGCCACGTTAAAAAAAAAATCTCATTATTATTATTATTAACATTTTGATATTTCGCTTGTGCATTTAAAATAAAATCATCATCATTATTATTATAATTATAATTATTATTATTATTATTATTAATGGATGCGTTAAATAAAAAATTTTTAAAATGTTGTATTTAAAAAAAAAAAATCACGATTACGAAATAAATAAATAAATAAATAATAATAAATAATAAATTTTTTTCGCCGTTTTCCTTTTCCTTCTTCCCTTCGCGTTCCTTCGCGTTTACTTCATAGAGAAAATAAACGGGATTAAAAAATTTTCTCCAGAGAGTTTTTTTAACCGGAAGATAAAGGTACATCTGTGAAATCATTTAAAAACCGTTATTTTTCCCTTTTAATAAAGATTCTAATTATATATTGAGATTTTGTTAAGGGGACTGACCGATTCGTTGTAATTAACACATTGACGATTAAATCACGGTGTGACGTAGACAAATATCATAGATTTTTAGGTACTTGTACCTACCAACTTATGGCACCTCCCACCCCCCCCCCCGAAAAAAAAAAATGGCATCATTTTGACGACGACGTATATTTAATAATAACTTTTACTCGAATCTAATTTTTTTTTTTTAATTTTTTGAATTTTAAAAAGATTTATGCATTTAATTATTTTTAAATACCGATAACGATCTTCTAAGAACAATAATTTTTTTCCAAATAAAAAAATTTTTTTTTTTTTCAGCAATAACGGTTTTTTTTTTTTTAACGTTCACGTTCACGATTGCCAACTTTAAAAAATTTATATACAGATGGCGTTAGATTATACGTATATATATATATACATACATAATTTTTGTATTTTTTTTTTTTTTTTTTTGATATTAAAAAGAATGAAAAGTAAAATTATTATTATTATTATTATCATTATTTGTCTTGTCTGTAAATGTAGTACAGTAGAACAATGACGTCATATACATATAAATATAAAAGTTCGTTAAACTCGTTGTTTTGAATAAGTTCATTGCACTCTTACTTAAATGAATAAATTTTACCGAGAAAATGAAAAAAAAAAAAAAAAAAAAGGGATGATGATGATGATGATGATGACGTTTAAATACCGCGAATCTTTTCTATTTACACGACAAAAAAAAAAAAAAAACCGTAACGTTTAAATTTAAATAAAAATATTCATTATTAGCGGTTTTACATTCATTAACACTCTAAATTTTGACAAAAAAAAAAAAATCGTCAACGGAAAATTTTCTTTTGCTAATTAATAAAATGAATCCGTTAATTTTTTTTTTTTTTTTTTTTTTCAAAGTTTGATGACCGGAACTTTCAAAAAAAAAAAAAAAGAGCAAAGAGGTTTAGCTGACGATTGTAAAAGAAAGTTTGGGGTATTTGTCCTCATAACGGTTTCTAAATGAGGAAATGATTTCGCAATCGTTTATTCATCCCGACCGGAAGTACATTTGCTACCCTAATAAAATCCCGCGCCCTATTTCCGGTAATAATAATTCCCGCCGAAAAAATTCACCGACTTTCATTCATCATTTATTCATTCACCCTTTCTTCTATGGCAAATATTATAACAACATCCGAAGGAATGAAAAAAAAAAAAAAAAAAAAAAAAAAAATTTTTTAAACGTGGAGTAAGTCAAGTTCACTTTTCTAGAACAACGTCCTTCCACGACCTGTACTTTTAAAAAAAAAAAAGAGGGAAAAAAGCAACCGGACGAAACGGATATTTAATGCCTTGAGCCATCTTCTAAGAATTACGAGGCAAAAAAAAAAAAAAGTAGTAGTCGAGAACTTTTTTTTTCTTCTTCTTTAACAACAAGGAGCAACACCAAATTCTCCCGCAAAAGTTTTTTATGTTTTTTTCAAACCGTTCGTTTCCGTTTTGTTTGTTTGTTTGTTTTTTGTTTGTCCATCCATCGATAGATCATATATCAATAATAATATAACGGTAGTAAAGGGGTACACACGACAGGTTGTGTGTACTCACACACACGTAAAAAAAAAAAAAAAAATCTACGTGCCCCGTTAGAATAAAAGGGTTGTTGTTGTTGTTGTTGTTAGTACCTACTACTACCCGTATGAGTACCGTTAAGCCACTCAACACAACAACAACAACAACAAAAAGGTTTTTTAATCGTGAAAAAAACGTTATTTATTTAACAAAATATTTAAATAACGTGTGATGGATATATTGCTTCTTTACATTTTCTTTTTTTCTTTCTTTTTCTTTTTGGTCTTTTACGGTCATCTTTTTGTTTTGTCGATTGTTGTTGTTGTTGTTGTTGTTTGTTTTCTTCTTTTCATAAAAATTTAAATAAAATTTTTTTGTTAACTTTAAATATAAAAAAAATTTATTCTTTTTCATTACTTTCTAAATTTTAATTTTACCTTTCTTATATAACAAAAACTTTTCCGTAGCGAAACGACCGATAATAATAATAATAATAATAATAATGATAACCTAAGGAATCTCTTATCAACAACCCTGGATAATAAGTGCTGGAAAACGATTTTAAAAATAGCAGAAGATAAAATAGCGGAAAAAGATTCCCGTTGTTGAGGTGGAACATTTCCCGGAACCCCGACTCGAATAACGACAGCGATTTGAATTTTCCTCAAAATAATAATGATAATAATAATAATACGGGTACTACTATCAGCCAATTGATTAACGGATTATTTACCCTTAACGATTTCGATAAAAAAAAAAAAAACTTACGTTATCAGGAAAGGTCAACGTACTCAACGCGAATGAGTGACCAACTGTGTGCTAACTTTCATCACTTATTACGTTACTATATAAAAACGTTTTTTTTAAACTAATCTACTTTCTATTAATTTAATTTCGTCGGGGGCGGGGGAGGGGGGTTTGGGGGGCTTATATATTCTAACTGTATTCTGTTCTTCCAGAGGGATTTATTAATGACGTCAAAAAAAAATTCGTTACCAACCTACTATTTTTTTGGAATATTAATTATGATAACAACGAATGCCAGATGATTTTTCTTCTGCTTTTTTTTATTGTTGTCGTTATTTAATACAAAACCTGACAGCGAATAATAATAATATTTATATATATTAAGGTCAAACCATCTCTCTCTCTCTCTCTCACTCTTTAAAATGGTGCATTTAAATATCGAA